ACCTCAGCCTCCCAAAGGCGCGGGATTACAGGCTGAGCCACCGAGCCCAGCTTAATTTTTTTAGAGACGATATCTTGCTGTGTTACCCAGGCTGGTCTCAAACTCCTAGTCTCAAGTGAACCTCCCGCCTCGGCCTCACCTAGGCGTGAACCACTGTGCCTGGCAAATTGTGGGATTTACATTATGGATAGCACCAGAGTTTTTAAAACTTATATCTTTATTTGTTCCTCATTTATGACATGGAGTTGGGGGCAACATCTCTTCTTAAATCCTAATTTTTTTATTTTCTGTCAATAATGGAGGCTGAGCTCTTGGGGAGGGAGTTGGTTGTCTTATTGCAATTAACAGATGAGTAAAAAAATCCATGTTTATTCATTTTGTCATATGCACACAGATTTCTAGTCTATCTTGAACAACAGATGTGCGGTGGCTCTCATGACTCTGACTCACTGGCTCCGACAGCACTGCGTTTTGTTTTGTAGAGGCAAAAGCATCCTCAGAATTCCAGACTCGTGGTTCTCAAAACCACAGACTGAAGTTGCTCTCAAGTTACTCAGAGACTGATCTCTTGCAGCTTTTATTTATTTATTAATTTAATTTATTTATTTATCAAGGCAGGATCTCTGTCACCCAGGCTAGAGTGCAGTGACACAATCACGGCTTACCACGGCCTTGACCTCCTGGGCTCAGGTGATCCTTCCGTCTCAGACTCTTGAGTAGCTGGGACTACTGGCGTGCATCACCCACACCCGACTAATTTTAAAAATTTTTTTTGTAGAGACGAGGTCTTGCTATGTTGCCCAGGCTAGTTTGGAACTCCTGGGCTCAAGCCATCTTCCTGCCTCAGCCTCCCAACGCACTGGGGTTGCAGGCATGAGCCAGTGAGCCTGGCCTGCAGCTTTTATTTTTGATGTGTTACCTGCTGTACTTTGGTTTCTGAAATGTATTCAGTTTCATAATTCATTTCTAAGAGCTGATAAAAATGGGGCTCCCCTCACTGCGGTCTCCCCTCATTGCCTGCCTGGTGAGTATCCTGCCAGAAGCAAGCTGTGTGTCCGAACATTCCTGCAATTCATTCTTGTTTGGCAGAAAATTGTGTGCAACTGATACAACACCAAGGCAAAAAAAGCACTTCTCCAATTTGTACCAGGTTAGTTTTTTTCCCACGTTCAACTAAGAGGCAACTTCTAATATGAATTTGGCTACTGTGGATAGATTTGGGGTTTAGAAAACACACAGGCCGGGCGCAGTAGCTCACGCCTATAATCCCAACACTTTGGGAGGCCGAGGTGAGAGGATCATCCAAGCCCACGGGTTCCAGAACAGTCTGGGCAACTTGACGAGACCTCATCTCTACAATAAATCAAAAAAGTAGCCGGGCATGGTGGCGTGTGCCTGTATTTCCAGCTACTTGGAAGGAAGGCTGAGGCAGAAGGATCACCTGAGCCCAGCTTGTCGACCCTGGGGTGGCCGTGAGCGTGCCTCTGCACTCCAGCCTGGGTGACAGAGTGAGACTCCAACTCAAAACAAACAAACAAACAAACAAAAACACGTAAATGCCTGGATTTTACATGAGTGTTACATTGCAGTTGATCTTAGAGGCCAAGCATTCCGCCCGCAATTCTTGGCTCTTTGACTAATGCTAATAGGACAATTCTGCACAAACTGTGTTCCCCCCCTGGTGGGTGTGAACTGCATGGACACTGTGGACTCTGCACAGAGCTTGCTGAATCTGGATGGCTTCTTTGTTCTGTTTTTGGTTTTCAGAGGTGTGCTAGCATATTCACTTAATACACTCAGCTGAAACAGTGGTTCTTAAGCTCTGATAAACTCCAGAAAATTAAATGTGTAATTGTGGGGACTGTGGATTCCCCTGAAGCCTCACCGTTGACACCCCCCACTCCCTGCCCAGTGAGAGACACATACTAAGAGCTTTATTAAAAGGAATTGGTTTATGTGCTCATGGAATTGACTGGGCGAATCTGAAATCCACAGGGCAGGCGTCAGGATTGGAGAAGTGATGCTAAAGTTCTCAGCATAGGATATGCAGCTTCTACAGGCAGAAGTTCTCCTTAGATGAGTGTCAGCACTGCTTTTATTTGTTTTTATCTTTTTGAGTTGGGGTCTCACTCTGTCACCCATGCTCACGGCCACCCCAGGGTCGACTTGCTGGACCCCAGCGATCCTTCCGCCTCAGCCTTCCAAGTAGCTGGAACCACTGGTATGCGCTACCATGCCCAGCTAATTTTTGATTTATTGTAGAGAAGAGGTTTCCCCAAGTTGCCCGGGCTGGTCTCGAACCTGCAGGCTCAGGCAATTCACTCGCCTTGGCCTCCCAAAGTGCCGGGATGACAGGCTGAGCCACCGAGCCCCGCCAACAGATGAGTCATTGAGTCAGCCCCCCCACAGATCATCTGGGATAATCTCCTTTACTTAAAGCCTGTTGATTATGGACGTTAATTACGCATGTAAAAATACCTTCACCTAAACACTTTGAGTTTGATTGAGTCATTGCAGGCAATTTTTAGACTTCTACAACTTTTTCTTTTCTCTTTTGTGGCTTCCTTGTTCACATTTTTAGGTCTGGCTAGTCTGATGACACCCATTCTGTGTCCTTCCTTCTTAGGAAGTCTCCCTTCAGCCTTCAGTTGCCTAGGGGTGATGTCCCTGGTGAGGCAAAGGAAGGTCTTTCTCTTCCAGGGTGGAATGACCGAATGGCTCCGTTCCCCAGAGGCCTGGGAATAAACCATGACTTTTCCTCTTCACTCTACCTGCTGTGACTGAGAATATCATTTACTACTTTGCAATGGAGCAAGGGAGTCTTTTTGGCAAGGACTGTATCAGTCTGTGAAAACTGGACATAAACAGTGTCGCATGCTATTATATAAACATGGCATCCCGGAGAATGGCAATTCCCTCTTGCCCCTTTTTCTCCTTCTCCTCCGTCTCCTCGCTGTGTCTGTCATGGTGAGAGCAGCATCTCTTTCTCCCAGAGGCTAACTCCGCCACGTGGGCTGTGGGTGCCTCCTCCTCCTGAGAAAATCTCGCCCCATGTCCCCTGTCGCCTATGTCGACTTCCTCCATTGGCATCGTTAGCTTTAGTGGTGTCTTCCCTCTGTGTCTGGTTGTTTGTTCTGAAAAGAAACACACCTTTCCTTGGCCTCCAGGCCTCTCTGGCCTCTGCCCATCTCTCCCCTCTTTTCACAGCCTGTTCGAATGGCATTTTCCACGTCCTCACCTTCCACCTTGGCTCCACCTTTCCACCCTCACCACGCCCTTGATACCACTTTCAGCACGGTCACAAAGGTCACTTAGACTCCATCGTGCTCCATCTCATGGGCACCTTTTGGAGGCTTTTGCAACTTGTTTTTCCTTTTGCCACATTCGATGTTGCTGTCCACTTCCATCTCCCTTCTGATATCCTTCTTTCCCTTTGGCTACTCCTTTGAGATGCTTGCAGGCAACTCTCTTTTTGTTCATCTTTTTAAAGTCCTTGTTGCTCAGACCTTCTCCTCTCTTTTTTCTTTACCCACTACTCAGCTGTTTCTTCTCCATGGCCAGAGCTTCTGCGACTGTTTCTAATTTGATGACACCCAAGTCCCTATTTGCAGCCCCGTGTTTCTTTCCTGATTCAGACCCTCCTGTCTCACTGTCCACTAGACGTCTCTCACTGGGTGTCCAAGGGCATGACACGTCTTCCCCAAACCTGATTCTTCTCTCATATCTCTACCTGGGTGGGGACAGGGGGATGGCACCTGTCTTCGGCATGTTCCACTCCCTCAGTGCACATAGCTGGTCAGCGTCCAGTTTTTCTCAAGTCCATTCACTTTCCTCTATCACCTCTTCCTTAATTCAGGCCAATCCCGTTTCTCTCCTCAACTCCTGATGCAGTTTCTTAGATGTTTTTCCTGATTCTAGTTTGACCTCTTCCCGTATTTTCTCTGCATTGTAGTGAGTGTCTTTGTTTTTTATTGAAAGGCAGATCTAATTCTATCACTCTTTTGCATGAAAATTTTCAGACTGTTGCCTCAAGGGCAGTGTTCAAATTCTTTGAACTCCTTACAAGTACCTTGCAGGAATCTTTTCTAGTTTTATTGTTGTGTCTAGAGTGTGAGAAAAACATTGCCAACACACAGAGTCAGATTATGAGTTCTTTAATTGCTGGCGACCGAGAGGGGGCTTATGCCGCCAAAAACTCTCGGCCCTGAATGAAGCTGGGAGAGAGTTTATAAAAGCAAAAACTGCTGAATAGGCTGCATAGCATGGGGTACAAACATAAGGTACATTACGTTACATGGCATAAAGCACAAACATAAAAATTATTAAAATCGGAAAGCAAAATGTGTAAATGTATACAAATAAATGTGGAACTTGTGGCTGGGGAGTTTCCAATATTTGGGGAAACCAAGGGTGTAGGCTCTTAGTTACGGAAAGATGACAACCTCTGATTACAGGAAAGCTATATAAGGGGTCAGTTTTGGACTAAAGCAGCTAAAATGGAAAAATTGTTACAAAGTGGAGTTTCTTACATTAAACAAGCTATTCCAAGTTGTTATAGGCTTTACAGGTACTTCATCATGTCTTTTTGCAAGATTCCACCCAGCCTGTTTTCTGCTGCCCCAGACTCTACTCCCAAGTTTTATTTGTGCTTTAAGAATGCAAAATGCTTTTCCTGACCAGTAGGCCTTTACATAGGCAACTTCAGGGCTTTCTACTTGCCTCAACCCTTTATCCTTATATCTCATGACTCTGGTCACACAGTGCTGCTGTGTGCCAGTCCACTTCTTGGAAGATGACTCTGTGTCTTCTCTACGACTGCACCTGGGTGCCTAGTACAGTGCCAGCCATGAAGTAGGCATCCAGCAAATAAATACCTGTTGAAAGAACAAGTGGATAAACAACATAACCCCAAAGGTTTCATACCAAGCTGCATGTAGCTCAGTGAAGGTCTTCGGACCAAATCCGAAGCCTGCTAGCGGAGTTCTGAGGTCATAGGCAAATTTCTCTTATACTCTCACTCTGCAATTAATATAGAAGACTTCTGGGACCTCTCTGACCACCACGAAGCGTGTGGAGGTTTCTTCCCACAAACAGCTGCCAGCTCTATAGCAGACCCCAGCTGGGTGCCCTCCAGTTCAGTCCTGACACTGTCCACCTGGAGGCAGCCAGACTGCTCTCACTGCAGATAACAGTCATAAGTGAAAGACTGTCACCTGTGCTTCTGACTGATTGACTGTCAGTTGGGGTTCCCGCCACCCCTTTTTTGTGTTTGACAAATTTGCTAGAGTGGCTCACAGAACTCAGGGAAACACTTTACTTCCATTTACTGGTTTATTACAAAAGATATGACAAAGAGTTTGGAGGAAGACATAGAAGAGATGCGTAGGGTGAGGCATGTAGGAAGCAGTGTGAACCCCCGTGGCCTCCCCAGGTGTGCCCCCTCCAGAAATCTCCATGTGTTCAGCTATCTGGAAGCTCTCTGAACCCTGTCCTTTTGGATTTTTTATGGAAACCTCATTATGTAGGATTACTTGACTCAATCTTTGTTCCTCTCCCCTTCCTGGAAGTTTCAACCCTTTAAATCATACCTTGATCTTTCAATGACCAGGGAGGGTATGGGCGCCTCTCAGTCAACTCATTTCAGAAAAACACTTATCATTTTGGAGAGTCCAAGGATTTTAGGAGTTGTATGCGAAGAAACAGGATGGAGACCAAAAATATATATTTCACCGTGTCACAAGAGTGAACCAAATTAGGTTGTATGGGTAAGAGGTTTGGTCTCCTTATCAAGCTAGAGGGTAGAAAGTAGGACCTGATGTCAGGTTGCTCCTTGAGTGTATTTTGGAAGATGGGTTCTGTTGTCTTACCATTTGGATGGTTGCTGGTATGTTTAGACATGATTTTATACATGTTTATGTCATAAAGCTGTTATAGGCTTCTTCTGAGTATATGATGGGTCACTCCTTTGCTAGTAACCATCAAGGCTTTAGTTTATGTTTTGTTAGAGATAATTCTGATAAGACAACTTACAAGCTCTTTCTAGTTTGATATCTTCCACTGAGGTGAATACAAAATAAAAATATGAATGTATTCATTAGTTTTTATGTAATTATCCACTCATTGTTCCCACCTTGTTAAAAATAAATAATGACTCATTCCCACTAACCACAGTGGGTTTCTGGAGGATTCTAAAGAAAATAATATAGTGTGTGTCTAGTTTATATCCATATTCTTGGGGACAGTAGAGTTTTTAAAAAATTATTTAATCTAAGGTTTACTAAAATGTATTTATTATTTGATGAATCAAAACATTTGGGGCTGGACGCAGTAGCTCACACCTGTCATCCCAGCACTTTGGGAGGCCGATGCGAGAGGATTGCCTGAGTCCAGGGATATGAGATTAGTCTGGGCAACTTGGCAAGCCCTCATGCAGACAGTAAATAAAAAAATTAGCCGGGCATGGTGGTGCACACCTGTAGTTCCAGCTACTTGGATGGCTGCGGTAGAAGGATCACCTGAGCCCAGGAGGTCGAGGCTGCGGTAGCTGTGAGTGTGCCACTGCACTCCAGCTTAGGTGACAGAGTGAGTTTCTGAATAGAAAAAAGAAATTGTAACCTGGAAATGACATGGACAAAAATGTGAGTGGAAAGAAATGTAAATTATACCGATTGGTATACTTTTTTAAGGAATTGTTTTACAAAACTTTTGTGCTGTGGCTATTTTTTGAAAAAGAGAACTTCCTTATACTATCCCAGAGTATTTTTGATTTGTTTTTTATTTTATTTATTTATTTATTTATTTATTTTAGTTGGAGTCTCACTCTGTCGCCCAGACTGGA